CACGGCTTGGTCTTTCAAGACCATCATGTATCGGATGATCAGCAAGGTCAAGTGGGCCAAGACGAAACCACTGAATCAATGGGCAGCAAAGGTGAAGACCGGGAGCCGCTCGACTTCAACAGGCGAAAGGCCCGCCGAAGAAGTGGCGTATTACCAAGACTTCATGTTCAACCCTTCCGTCTACCCCAAGGCGGACATAGTAGCGCTACGAGGGATATGTGAACAGCGGGCGGCAGCACCAGCAGGTAGTTTGCTCCGGCCGGCAACCAAGGATGAGTGGAAATCATCGGTGGGTTGGCCGAAGGGAAAATCGTATGCCGTCGGATGCCCGAATTTCTCAAGAGCGTGTTTGACTCGCGAGAAAGACTACGGCTTCATAGAACCATCCAGAGCCAAGTAGAAGGTGAACTTAAGCTTCAGCTTCGCGGGCGCACGACGATCAGGCCATGTCGACAGCAGACTCAGACCATCCAAGAAGACATTCGTATTACAGCTGAAGAATTACGAGCCAACACGCCAGAACTGCGAAAGATGCTCAGCTTGACCAAAACGATTAGTTACAATCATGCTCAACGAAGTTTACACTTCTTCTTCTTCGACAGAGCCACAGCCAGACAGTTCGATCACGTCCAAGTCCCGTTCCGTAGGGCGGTGTATCGTTTGGCGAACATGCACCAGCCCGATTCGGGATCTGTATGGGATCGACAAGTTGGAAGGGATGGCATGAGGCTGACGCAGAAGCGCCGGTACGAGGTGGACATCTACAACATAACCAGATTTACGGATTTAGGGCTGTTGGAGGAGTATTTCCAGCAGCATATTTTGACGAAGTTTGACTGGGATCCAATGGATAGTTGTCGTCCGGAATCGCTAACAGCTACAGTATGGAGGCTGTCAGTGCACACGGCAGAATGCCCTGACTTTCTGCGAGGGATCGTGAGAATTGTATGGTATGGAAGGACGCTCGTGCTTCAGCATCCCAACGCTCGTCAACGGCTGCAGTACCTTCACTGTGGCAATCTGGGCCACACGATGGCGCGGTGTCAATATACGGAGAGTCAGCTTCTCGGCCCCGGAAGCCGAGTGGCTCTTGAACAAGAAGTAGCCAAGCTCGTGGACAGGACTAAACCGTTCGCTAGTCTGGATGAGGTAACAGAAATCGTCAACAAGCGACTGGAGATCCAGAAAGATGAGCAGAAAGAAGCTCAAGCAGCACTAGCCCCCGCCCGGTCAGCCATGCAATCATCCAAGAGCCAGTGCCAACCCGTCGCAAGCGCAACAGTTCCAACCGGATCAGCGCAACCACGTAGCTCCGAGCAGGATGCGGCAGTGCCGCCCGTCCCTAAAAAGAAGTGGGTCACTCGGCCGTTGAGAAATGGCAGAAAGCTTTACGCTCACGCGGCAACATTTGAGCAAAAGCTGAGAGTGGACCGCTCTCGATACGACGTGCTCACTGAAGACGACGAGAACGAAGGAGATACCGATGCAGAAAGCCCCGCAACAAAGCCTCTACCTCCTGCGCCAATAGACATTCCGTCGGAGGGCGATCTCGAAGAAAAGGCGCCTGTCCTGATATCATCAGCAGACAAAGCCAAGCTGCGCCTTGTGCAGGCCAAGCCCCCCAAACCGCATTCCCCACCTCAATTAGTGGCTTTGAAGTCACGGGAGCGGAAGGTGCTGCGCCAAGCTGTATCTGCAGCGAGGCACCCGCTAGGAGATCGATCGCCGCCGGCGACATACTCCGGGGAAGAGCTCCGATCCTTCTCGGAGATTGAAGCTAGTCTCGGTATACGTTAAGTAAACACTCCAGCGACAGGAAACTGTATGGTGATGGCACTGGCGCAAGCACTAGTAGATACCGATTTGGCGTCACAAGACGACAGTCTGGAAGCGATCGCCAGGAGTCTGAAACAAGGTATCTGCTGGACAGGTCAACTGAATCTCCACGAGCAGTTTGATCACTACGTCCGTACCACAACGCTAGTAAACGTCATGCGCGGTTGGGAAGGAATGCCGTCTCATGAGTCGACAAAGCAATTCAAGTGGTAC